TCCAGGGACAATAAATAAATAAATTTATAAATAAAAATAAAAATAAATAAATAAATAAATAACATGTAACAAAAGGGAGCATGGCATAAAATAGTCACTTAACTCTAGCATTTGAGTGCCTTCCAGTTTATAATATTGTAAATACACTAAATATGCAAAAGCTAGCATACTGAATCTTGTGCTGTATGCCATGGTCACCTATCACTTTTCCCAAGGGGTCGAGGCATCACTAAAATGATGACTTAGCATAAATGAGCTAGTGTTCTATAACTTACAGAGTATCTGGGGGAGGGGGAAAGAATCTATTGTCTAGACAGCAAATGCACTATAAAAATACCACATTGATCAGACCCTGTTTATGTTCATTATATGTCACATGCCACCTTTAAATTGTGTGGAGGGCAGGAAGAAGACTTGTCCAAATAAATCACCAAAGATATTTGTTTGGGTCGCTTGTTTCTAAGATATACTAAAGAAACAAGATTATAAGACCATTTTTCTATCTTAAAGATATTAATAACATTCTAACCCTCTCAATACAAAAGCTCATGTTTGTCCATGCTATGAGTGTATGTGATTTTTACCTGTTTGACAATTTCATTTCATATATTACAAGTGGCAGACTGACTTGATGGGAGATGCAATTATGTATATATGTTTCTCATACTGGTTAATGAATAAAGCACTATTGGCCAATAGAAAAGGAAGATAGGAGGGACTAGGAGACAAGGAGGAAGAGGAAGTAGTAAAGAGGAGTCAAGATGGAGAGTCTGGAGAAGGCAGAACTGCCAGCCGCCTCTCGCTGGTAAGACCACAAGGAAATACATAGAAATGGGTTAATACTTAAGACAGAGCTAGCAGATAAGAAACAAGTAACCAAGCCAACAGCATTGTATCAAATACAGAGTCTGCTGGCACAGTGGCGGGACAAGACTAGGCAGCGGGCAGAAAAAAACCTAACTCCTAACTCCTTACATATGGTGCCCACATGGCTATTAAGAACTTCCACTTAAAATTTAACAAAAGCTTAAAAAAGGGTTTTCTCAGTTGGACTCTGCTTTGCGAGAGACAAGCAGATTGTGCAGCTCCTTTAAGAGAGGTTTCCTGACTCAGCATAAGTGGCAAAAAACCACAAGGCTTTTAAGAAACTCTGCTAACAATTCATCGGTGCATATGAGAGCTGGCAATAGCAGGGACCACATTTCCAAGCGGCAGCATGGGGCTGGATGGCAGTGCAGACCAAGGCATAAGCACAGCTTTCACTGCTGTCAGTAAAATAGCCGCCGCCATATTTGATAAACCGCAGCAGAAACAACTATGAGTTTCATTTTAGCAATGTTGTTGTTTACCAGATAAAAGGCTCGTGGCCAGACAAAGATAAAGATTTACAGTAAAGACAGATTCATATTAAGAAAAAGCACTACAGGTTTACAATGTGTTCTAATATATATTTAGGCTTGGGAGAGAAAAGGAATAAAATGGTTTTAAATAGACAGAGAGGAGCTGCGTGTTGTGGCACAAGCCTTTAATCTAAGCACTCTGGAGACAGAGGCAAGCAGATCTCTGTGATTTGCAAAGTAAACCTGGTATGCAGAGTAAATTCCAGGACAGGTAAGAGTTACACAGAGAAACCCTGTTTCAAAAAATTAAAAAAAAAAAAAAACTAAAAAGTAAAAAAACAGAGTAATAATAAAGCCATGTAAAGATGAAAAGCTCAGAGAGAATCTGGTTACTGTATAGTGTTATATTGTCTTTGTATCTTTTGACTGCTGAGGAAATAACAACAACTGATAAAACAAATGCTGCTGGATTAATTCAATTTATATATTTTAAAAATGCTTTGTCTCCAAAATTTAAGTTCAAGGACAAGTTACTGGGGAAAAGGATTTCTATTTTTCTTTCCACAGAAAATGAAAAGCTGTGGATTCCTTCCAGACTAATGTGGTTTCATCAAGCCAGGCCTCGTGAAACAGAGTCGCTGGTGATCCAACATTCAAAACAGCTTGGAAAAAGCAGTCTTGCAGACTACAACCAGGATTTCTGCATCTTCTTAGGATTCCCCCATGACAGCGCCCTTTATCAGCAGGAAGTAGTTTGGAAAGAACGATGCCCAAATTTCCAAATATTGTTTATAAATGCTTGTTTTCATTTAAATGGGGTTGGTTATAAATGGTTAATGATCACAGCCAAATCTTTTTAAAGGTAAAAAGGGGTTTATGGTATAGATATGAATGCTTTGTATTGGAATAGATTTTCATTTATTGATACAATTTAAGGTCAATTTTGTGATATGTATATTTCTCCTCTTGTTTAGGTATTGTCTTTATATAGCTCATTTAGAAATGTATAATTTAGTACAGATTATAGATAATTACCTATGATAGTCAAAGCTTAGAGTTAAGTTAGTTAAGTTTTTCAAGATACACAGAGATGTATTTGAAATAGATAGGAATTCTTCAAACCTTACAAAGATCTACAGAATATGACATTTAACATGGTTTAGGGTTTTTCTTGACAATGAGGCACAACTGCTCCTGGCAAAACCACCTGTATCAGAAAGGAAGATGGACATTAAAGAAACACGTTATGGAGTTTGCCTCCAATATGGCAAGACTAGCCATTTGGACAAGATACTGCTCTTGTCTGGAGTGTTTGACTTTATGCTGTATAAACTGGACATGCAGGACCCACAGAAAAGTGACTGCTGATTCAAGATGGACATTGCTACAGAGTTCCTACTTCATGGAAGAGTCTCCCAGACAGTCTGCAGGACACAGAGAAAAATGACTGACAAACTACCAATACAAGAAGACAGTTTAAAGTTTCCTGCTTTGCTGAAGAGTCTGCCAGACACACTATGGCCTATGGGCTGAAGATGGAAGATTACAGAAGAACTTTGGTTGATCAACCAGGCAGTGAGTTGTCTCTGTCAATTCTAGAGTTTATATACTATCCTTCTGTGGTCTTTGAAGGAGTTGAAGAGAAATAGTTATGGTTATAGTTTTCCTTAGTTAGGATTAAAGATAAGTTACATAGACTTTGGACACACAAAGATAGGATAGATGAAGGAATAGTTTCTTAAATCTTGCTAAATGTTAATGGACTAAAAGTGTTAAATGTGATTCTTATTTGATAACTGTTATGTGATATATTTTGCTATGATAAGGTTAAAAACCTTTTCATTTAGACAGAAAAGAGGAGATGATGGGAGATGCCATTATGTATATGTTTCTCATACTGGTTAATGAATAAAGCACTGTTGGCCAATAGAAAAGGAAGATAGGAGGGACTAGGAGACAAGGAGGAAAAGGAAGTAGTAAGGAGGAGTCAAGATGGAGAGTCTGGAGAAGGCAGATCCGCCAGCCGCCTCTCACTGGTAAGACAACGTGGAAATACATAGAAATGGGTTAATAATTGAGACAGAGCTAGCCGATAAGAAATAAGTACCTGGCCAACAGAATTATATCAAATACAGAGTCTCGGTGTGTTAATTGGGGCTGGTGCAGCAGTGGGACAAGACCAGGTGGCGGGAGGAAAATCCCTACCCCTTACACTGACTTTTATTAACCTAACCATGACAAACAACTGTAGGCAAATTAAATATCTAATAAGATGCAACAACTCAGTCTATATGATCAATTCACTGGGAAAATCAAATAAGATGACTGTTGTTCTTTTGTTAGTTATAAGAATAAATATGGAGGGGTGGGTGGTGTCCCAAGTGGGTATCCCAAGGTAAGGAACCACGTGGGAGAGTATAGCAGGTTCCATAGCAGGAGAGGGTGACCCAGGAGAGAGAGAGGGGGGGGGGCAAAAGCAAAAGCTTAATTGGGCAGAGACCTGTCTTTTAAAGGGGTCCTTTACACCTGCCTGCAGACTGGTACTCATAGAACCCTGGGCTGACCAGAGTACTGCCTGAGTACATTCTGTGAGGTGACAGGGGCAGGCCAGCATAATGTCTGAATCCTTACAATGAAAGTTAAATAGAGTCATTACTTAATTGTTTGATACTTATTAGTAGATAAAGACGAAGAATCAGATGTGTCAATCAAGGAAGTTTATAAAAAGATCATTATGTTATTTAGACTAGTTTCCTTTCCTCATACATAAACAAGCAAAATAATAAACACAAAGTATTTGGGCTACTTCCTAGACCTATTGATGGACAAATTTCTGAATTTAAATCTCACACATTTTAGAATAAGATTTCAGAAAGTATCATAAACTGGCACCCACACATTAGTCCTTTCTGAAATAGCATCAGTTGGTTGGGAGAAGATTACATGCTAAAAAGGAGTTGTCTGGAGTCTATCAGTGATCAGAGATGGAAAAGAGCTGCATTATAAATATAGGCATGAACTATGTTACAGAAGAACTTCCCCTGACAATTTGAGAGTGGCCATTCCATTGGCTATCAGAGTAGATGGATAATGCCGCATTGCCAGGAGGGCTTCATCAATGTTGTATCACTAACCCAGCATCCCATAGAAAACAAAACACACTCATCAAAGAAAAAAGAAAACGTGAAATCTAATGCCAAGTGGCATGTCCAAAAGTAGTTCAGGGTAGAAGTGAGGCTGCTTCCAGCAAAACTCAAATAAATCAGACTAGATGAGTTTAATATTTGCATGCTTACTTCAGTCACTTTACCCAACAAGACAGTTACAAAATACATGTGTTTTCTAACAAACAACAGTTAAATGTAACCTGGGTTCAAAGTAACTATGAAGATCATTCAGAGAGTATTATTTAATGATGTTTTAATATATTTTCAAATGCCTTTAAGAATGTGAGAACCTTTACTATATATATTTTATTTATTTTCTATCTACAAATATGACAAGGAATATTCTATCTAATTTGCTTGGTCCTGGTCACTCAAAAAATAACAGACTTTGGCACTTTGGAGTCAAATATATTGTTACCAAAACGTTACCAAAACTATGCAAACAAAAATACTGATCAACTTAAATGAAGTGATTATAAAAAAAGGTCCTTACTGCGAAATCTTCCCTCCACTGGTGGGCTGCTTGGACTTTCTCAGCTTCCATAGCCAGGCGCTGAAAGAGAAACGGTAAATCTTAGACACACATGACTGTGAACACAGGAACAGAGAATTAAAACACAATGCACTATCCATGACCTTTGATATTACAAATAACTATGGGCAAAAAAACAAAAAAAAACAATGCACAGCACTTACTTATGACTCTTAAGTTCTAAATTAGTTAGCAATCTAACCTACTAAAGATGATGTCATAGTAGTAACAGATGTACTTTTCTTGAATACCACAAAAGTTACCCTACCTCTCCTGTTTTCATCAGTAGTGGGTGTTTTCCTTCAACAACTTATATTTCAGATTTGTAAGATACTTTAATGGCATGCAGAATCTACACTGATTGGCATCCTGTTCTTAACACCAGCAAATACTTCAGTCCATAGAACAAGGATGTCGTTGAAATATTAATGGTTATATGGTAACCAAACAGGTACATCTATAAGAACATGTTTTAAATTTCCTGTTTGCTAAGTGTATGTTTCGATGTTCTAAAGATTATTTGAAAGACTGTGAATTGAGAATACACACATATGTAAATGGCTTTATTTATTTCCACCCCCCACCCCCCGCCTGTATGATAAAGTAAGGGGAAATGTAAGGTTGCTTTATTTTCCTCTGGTACGTTTAAGCTAAAATACATGGGAAGAAATAGCACAAACCTAACAGCAAATACAAATGTATTAAATTCACTTATTAAGAGACAAATATAAGATTAGATTTTAGGAGAATATAAGCCACCCAGTAGTTTTGTAGTTTATGTTACAGCTAAAAAATATTCACTGTTGTTTGCTTTTCCCATGAGTCAAGTCTACATGAACTAATGTAAAAATTTGCTTTGGCCATTTCCTGACAGTAACATGTTTGTTTGTGTCCTTTAAGTTTAATACTAAAATTTGTCCATTGTTCTAAGCTATGGCATAGGTATTACCAGTGATTTGTATCAATGATTAATGAGAGACTCTGAGTGTTGGTCCTTTGATTCTTCATATGCCTCTGGAATGTGGATGCCTGCACACACACACACACACACACACACACACACACACACACACACACAGTGAAATATTCACCTTGTCCACACCTGTGGCATATACCATGCCCATTGGGGGTGGAGACAGGGCAGATGTTACCTGGATGAACTAAGTCTGAGGAGGGGACTCTGAGAGCTCTCTTGCTTGCAGTATGGGGACAGGAGTACATCCAGAAGCATCCTTGGGATCAGGAACCTGCTGGTGTTCATCTGCCTATGTTGTTATTTCTCCCTAAATAAACATCTCTTCGGCCTATTTGATTCTCCTGATCCTTATTAAATATCAACACACACACACACACACACACACACACACAATTTAGATACAGATATTTTATAAAGAAAAAGGTATCTGTTGTGAGCATCTGAAAATATTTAGAAACCAACCAAAGCTACATAAATGTCTAAAAAAGACATGGATTTTGAAGAGTTCAAGTTCAAAAGTTGTTAAATTTTGTTTCCTCTGCTTGAAATATAAAACCAAGCAGTCATGAAAAATATACTACTCTTATAACTTTATTCATAAAGAAATAAATGAAACTTTAATCAAGTTTCATAAAGTTCCAAATACTGACTTTTAAGACAGTCTAGGTTATAAGTAGCGCACTCACTGTCTGCTCTTTCTGGTGACAAAAAACCTGAAGGTCATTACTTACAGAAATTGACATGCCTTCTAGACACTGCAAGACTCTAATTAACTTCCATTCCAGTCAAGTGACATTTTAAAAGCCAATAATCTACCATGGATGCCATAGGGAAATTGCAGTAAGATTAATAAAACCTCTATCTAATAAAGTGTGAATATTTTATTGTTAGCCAATCTCTTATCTATACAGTTGAATAAATGGGTATGTCCTGTAACAACAACTTATTTCCAAAGAAAGAAAACATAATTATGGAATGGGTAGCATGGGCTATGGTGTAGCTTCTTCCATATTTATAGTATTGGAAGTCACTGGGAGGAACCCTTCATAATAAGCAGCTTGCAAAAACAGGGACTAAAACTCCAATTAGTAGCCAGAAGAAAGGGAACAGAGTCTTATCTCTGGCCTTGAGTAAAAACATGACATTCTGAACTAGTTGGAAGGTCCAAGGCTTGTCCAACCCTTTAATATTGTGATGTCATGTGGTAATCTATAACAAAGAGCCGCCCAATTCAATTGCAAAAAAAAAGAAGAAAAAAGAAAAGAATGAACCTGCAAGATAAAGTCTATTATTTTAAGTAACTTTATGATTTTGTAGAAGGATGGATAGAGCTGTTACCATATCCTTACTGTATTGCCAAGGGCTTGCTAGGAAAGAGACAGAACATACCCTATGCCTTCCCACTACAGTTTATCCAATGGGCTTGATAATCACTTGGATAATTTCCTTCCTCAGGATGACCTTGTAGAAGCAGAAGGGAGGCAGGCAAAGAACAGCTAGACCTGTTTGACCAAGATGTCTTCACTCCACAGACTTACTTGTCCTTTGTCCCTGTTCTTTCTTTGCTAAAAATGAAAGTGCATGACAGTACCTGGAAAATGAAGGTAGGGTCATGGTACCCCTTATCTGCTTTCCTCCCAATGGGGCCACACTGAATAAATTAATCTTCTCTATGTCCTTTTTTCCATCAATCATCATCATCTTTAATTGGCATGCTGGGTATGAGTTGTTGAACCTCCTCTACTGGGGCCACCTGAGTCTGTTATTTGGCTATAAAAATCCAATTTGAATACATATAAAGAGACACGAAGCTTAATTCTGCTTATATTATGACGAAGCAGAGACAGTCATTTAAATGGCTTTATTTAAAATGTACATGTGAAAATCACTTATATAAAACATGATAGATGTATTTAAAATCCACATATCCTTGTGTCCATTTGATTGCACCTTTAGAATAATAATAATAAAAATGCCATACAAATGACTTTTACAGACTCAGTTTTACCACAGTGGACTAGCCACTGAGCCTTCCGACTCTGAAGCTCAAGCTTCAGAGTACAATGTCAGTACATTGCCAGTTTTTAGTTTTGAAAGTCATCCTTAGACATCCATGCTGTGTATGAAGACACTCTAGGATCAACACTAAAACAATGGCAGAAATGGAGGATTTCAGCGAAATGAAAATCAAACTAGCAATACAAAGTCAAAAAATAAGTTTCAGTGCTGTCTTTACACAGTCACCCCCTCAAAGGCAGACGGTTATTATCACCATCAGTAAAGAAGCTTTTGATATGGTGTTCTCTGTAGAGAGAAGAACAGAATCAAACCAAACAGACAGGAAACAGCTTATCAGATGAGAGAAAGGCCAGCTCCCTCAGTGGCCTATTCATCCTTAGCCTTCAGACTGTGTCCTATCTGCATCTTTTCCACTGGCATTGAATTCGGACATATGACATGAGAGTCAAATAAAAAAGTAGAGGTATATTGAAAAAGGCCAGTCAATCACTCTCATGAATGATATTCAAATATATCTTCTCTTACAAACATAGCATTTCCTAAATGTCTAGGTATTCTGCTTCTTAGGCTATAAATAATACTTTTAGGCTCACTTTTTTAGTTTTAAACTTTTGAGAACAATCAAACAAACATAAGGACTTTTAAAAGAGCTTTGAAAGCAAACTGTGAGACAGCACAGTGCTATTCTGTTAAGACTCCACAGCCACTGACATTCAGATTTAAATAGCAAGTATTGACTTAAAGAGGCCATTCAAACAAATTCTCAAACCATGTCTGTGGACAGTGTAGAGCAAGAGCTTTCCTGCTAATAAAGGGCAATAAATGTAAGTAACACACTAATTTAAGCAAAATATGCATTTTAGGTGACTGTGACTAATGTTCCAACACTTAATACCCAATAACGAATGGCAACTACTGTACCTTACTCATATTGACAATCTCATTATCACTCTAATGAGTTTTACTAATTTTCATTAAAAGGTTCTTAGAGGATCAGAAGACACATTTGAATGGCCCAACAATACCTTTTGAAAATAGCAAATTAAAGTGAATAAACACTCTTCCACATTCTGAAAGGTACACAGGTATTTCATTTGCTTCTGTGGAAGGAGGAGGGGTGTGGCTTGTGATTTGATTGCCATGCAACTTAATGATGAATTTAACTATCTTCAGCATATTAGATATTTATGTATATTTCTGTCTATGTATTTGTGTGTATGTCTCTCTCTGAGTGTGTGGGGGGTGTGTGTAGAAATCACTGAAGGCCAATTAAATATGTAAATATGAAGAAAATGAAGAAAAATTCTTCAGCAGTGCCTACATTCCCTGTTTCTTCCTGCAGAAAATTTCACATCTATAGAAACACTTTGAAACAGAATTTTAGAAGTTATTTGAGCTTAAAAAAAAAAAGCACTCATTTCTTCTTTGAGTAATTAAAAGACAATGGACGCCTGGCATCTCTGCCTGCACACAGATATGTCATTGTCCTAATGCTGCAGCCACCTTGGACTCCAGGAAGAACAAAACCTCTCAGGCCTTACCCTGGAGCAGTGTCAGACTTGGGGGAATTTGACAGGTGCTACAAGAATGACATTCAATTCATGAAAAAGGTTTTTATTTACATCATAGGGGCTGAAACAGTGCCCCCTCTCTGGGATGGAAACAAAAATGTACTTTTAAAGGGTTTTGTTTTTGTTGTTGCTGCTGTTTTGTTTGGTTTTAGGACAGGGTGGACTTACAGTGTTTAGGAAGCAGACTTCATGTGACCTGTGTCCCATGGTTGCAATAAGACAGCAAGGGTCACTCCTTCTTGGGGTACAGATGTGGGGTTTGTGAGACAAGCAAAGTGACCACAGTAGGCTCAGGCAGCAGGGTGGTTGTAGACAGAATGGGCCACTCATAGGACATGCTTAGGAGATAATTACATGGAAAGCCTAGTTCTTTAACAGCAGAGGTGATCATGTCATAGAAGGGAGTTTGGTCCTGAGGGTAATAGGGATAAGGGCTTCAAAGAACACGTTGCAGA